GAATATATCAAGCTTCTAAGCTTTGATTACATGTTCGCAATCCTCCCAAAATAATTAAACTGGAAATTCGAGAGAAAACTGAGCTGAAATCATAACATCGTCATTTGCATATTTTAATTTTCTTTGCAAGAATATCTGGGGTCTACACTATTTATCTAAAAGTTCATAACTACCAATCTTCCTGAGAAAATCAGGAGAGAGGATCTATATTTTATGCAAATGAATTTTTCGTTTGACTGCAAAAAAAAAACAAAAAACAAACAAACAAACAAAAACAAACAAACAGACAAACAAACCAACAACAACAACAACAACAAAAACAAGACAAAACAAAAACAACAAAAAAAGCGCGAAATAACATAATTATGGTGTTTTTGGGGAGAATGACCAGAACCAAACTCTTTTGTATAATAATAYCGAAAGTGATTGCTCATTGTTCGAAAAATAACCGCTGTAACCAAACGTCCTAGTAATGAGATCCTGCCTATAGCAGTTAAAAATATATTAAATAATATAGGAAAAAAAGGTAGAGGAAATTATAAAAGCAGGCAGATTCTTACAGGAGCCAATTTTTAAAAGTCGTAGSATAAGTCACCCAGAGGTATAGTATATCAAAATCATAAATCAGGGAAATGAACTGAACAAAAAAGCTTGGCTCGTCCTTCTAGGGGTACTCTATCTCATTAAAACAGGGCCTTTTACTAATGTTCTTGATAACAGATTTCTATAGAAATTGACCGGACAAAAATTGTGAACATGCTATATGAGTTGGGAGTCGGTTTTAGGCTCAGTGAGACACGAATATGACTTCATCTGAAAATTGTGATAACATACATGATAATAGCCTCTCACCAGTCTCAGTAGAAAAAGTTTTTTTTCGCCAGATATTAATCTATATATTCCAGTTAAAAACTGATTCCAATTTAATATACCTCTGTGAAAGAGAAGCGGTAGAGAAGACTCAGGGGTGATGACGACGAAACACTGAGGCAGAAAACAAACG